TCCAGCCCCCGTAATTTAATTTTTTGTAACTATATATGGTGGGTGTGGGTTCGGGCGTGCGGATGTTTCCGCCACGGCCCTGTGGAGGTTAGAGGACAACTTTCAGAAACTGGTTCTCTCCGTCCACCTCAGATTCCTGCGATCTAACTGAGATAGATGGTCAGGCTCCAACAGCAAGCTCTTCTCTCCCGCCGAACCATTTCATGGGCCCGATTTTGCTAATTCTTGTAATTACCACATTCGACTTAACGAATATTTTCGGAGCACCTACTGTGTGCCAGGTGTCTGTACTTGACCGCTCACTGCATAACATAATCTCCGGTGTTCACTACAAGAGATGTGAATTAAGTTTAGGAGAACAAGAAGACATTCCCATAACATCTATGGGACTCAAGGACCATGTGATACCTTAAAAAAGAAAACATACGACATAACACAAGAAACACTGAGCCGCCTCCCCAGCAGGAGCACTCGGCGCCGCGCTGTAACTCACTCTGCTATAGTCTGGAGGAGTTCAACCCTCAGTCTGCGCCCACACAGATGGCACAACTTCTTTGCTAAGATAGTATCACACAGTGACTTGAATCCTATATGTATTCACATGCTAATATACATTAACACACAGTCTTGTCTAGTGACATCAGTTTCGTTGGCACTGATATCTATTTTATTTCTAAGATGCAGTTTCTCAGCATGTTTTCACCTACATCTTTTTTTTTTTAAGATAGAGTCTTACGACAGGCGGTCGTGGCACACGCCTTTAATCCCAGCACTCGGGAGGCAGAGGCAGACGGATGGATCTCTGTGAGTTCGAGGCCAGCCTGGTCTACAGAGTGAGATCCAGGAAAGGCGCAAAGCTATACAGAGAAACCCTATCTTGAAAAAAAAAAAAAAAAAAAGATAAGAGTCTTACTATGTATCCCTGCCTGACCTAGAACTCAATATGTAGACTAGGCTGGCCTCAGACTCATAGAGAGCATCCTGTCTCTGCCTCCCGAGTCCCGGGATTAAAGGCGTGTACCATCATTAACCAAGGTAATCTTTTAAAAGATTTATCTATTTTTATTTTGTGCATTCAGGTGTTTTGCCTGTGTATGTGTCTATGCGCCATGAACATGCAGTGCCCATGGAGGCCAGAGAAGAAGGAGCTGGGTCCCCTGGCACTAGAGTTACAGACTATTGTGAGCCGCCATGTCGGTTCTGGGAATCAAACTCAGGTCCTCCAGAAGAGCAGCCATGCTCTTAGTGCCTGAGCCATCTCTCCAGGGCCATTTATTTTTT